TTTTGGACTTTGCTGAATACAACTTATTCAGTGTTGTAACTTAGTTCTACAGCTACCATTGGAAGAGGTAATGTGCTTGGTCTTCACAAGGGCTCAAGGCAGCCTTGTTCAGGCAAATAAACAACACAGTGTGTTTCAGGGCTGATTAAAGTGAATCAGTTACAGCAGCCTGCTGGAGACCCCTCAGCTGTTGATGTAGCACTGAGTGGTTCTGTTCACCTGCCACCTTGTTCCCTTCTGCTCCAAGGAGCCAGTATTTTGAAAGACAGCTTTAATTATTGACACTCAAAATGTAGTTTATTCTGCAGATTAAATGAAAAGGATGAAATGCTTGGAGGGTGTGTGTGTGTGTAGGATAACACAAACAAACTCCGAGCTGTTGGACAAGTAGTCCCTTAAAAGGACAAAATATGCAGGGTCATGCGGACTGCACAGATCCTTCCTTTCAAACTCCTGGCAGGAGACTTCCTGTTTGGATGTAGGACTCACAGTCCATGCAGTGTGCTAAGATCTAAGCATTTTCCCCTCTTTTTCTCTCCTTGGCTTTCTGTAGGCAATTCAGACTTCTCATTCAAGAAACCTTTCAAGCACAGAGTTGCTCTCAGAATATAAATGGGAAGAGATATATTAGATGGCTATGCTGTCATCCAGCCTGCAAGTATCAGCCCTGAGGCTTATGTAAAGCCATAAATCTACTCAGAATTGTGGCAGGACATTGATTATCTGGCTAGTTGACACAACAATTTGTAGGTTAAGCGACATCTTGCTGCTAACTAAGTGTGATAGATTATGATTAACTAGGCATTAATTAACACAAGGCTAATTCCTTGTGTTCTCTTGTCAAGGGGAAATTCAGGACAAGGAGGAAAGCATTCCTAAAGCACCCCCAAATTCTAAGGAACTATCATTCTTAGAATTTGCTACCATGGTTGCATTATTGGGGACTGGCCAATTAAGTCATCCCACTGTTTTTCAATGAAATTCCACAAGTCTCTTGTCTCTAGGGATTAAGAGTTAGGAATTAAGAGGGGTGCACCATTCTGGAGGTTGCTTCTGGATTAGGAAAGACCCTACCTTTCTCCGCATACTTCGTATTCCTCTTTTTCCATCTTTGACAGTATTTATTACTGTTGTTATTTTTTGCTTTATTATTTTAATGTGCAGTAGTTTTAATGTTTGCAAGCCACCTAGAGTCGTCCAGTCACCCAGTCACCCAAGTCACCCAGATAAGATGGGCAGCATCTAAATTTAATAAACAAACAAAATTAATAAGTAAGTTGTAATTGACATTGGTTGGCTTACAGTTAATTTATTTGACTCATTAGTGAATTACAGAAGAAGATAAGAAGGTTTGACCTACATACCTGTGGCTCTTATTTTAGGCATGGAAAACAATGCCAGCTACTATTTGGAGTAAACCAATTAATTGTGTCTGTCTATATTGTACCAAAATTAAACTCTGGTAAACCACTGAAATAGCAGTGATTTTCACTGACAAATAATCTCTGTGTCTTGCTATTCAGCTTGACAGCTGGGGCCCAGCATTAAGCTGTTAGCTTTTAAATCTATATAACATTGCTGATTTTTAAACATGTCCACCAGCTTGTTTCAACTGTTCCTAGTTAAGATTCTCTATAGCATAAGGATGCATGCCGTGCAAAACAAAATTTTTTGAATTTAATTGAAATCAGAAGCTCAAGTTTCCAAATTTTTGAAACTACGACTGAGGAGGTATATAATGGAATAAACCAATACTTATTGTTGCTAGGATTTTACTCATTGGTCATCACTCAAAAAATCCTCAGTAGTTTTATTTTTCCTATCCTAGGTGTTTTGCAGGACATGGTAGCCTTATAAATATGATTAATTTTGTTTTCTGGCCCATTCACAGTTTTACTTTTTGGGCTTAAGTTTAAGTAGTTTATTTAATAAGGCTTAAAGCATGGGTGTCAAACTTGATCATGATGTTTTTTGCCTTTGTGGAGCTGGGGTGGGCCTGGCCTGTGTGTAACACACCCGGCCCATGGGCCGCCAGTTTGATACCCCTGGTTTAAAGAATGCCCACCTCCAAATAACTCTGGGCAGCTTACATGAAAAAAATAGTAAGAACAGCAAAAAAGAAACAGATCATAAGTGTACAGAAGGAAAACTCTGTATAATAATTAAACATCCTAAAGAGCCCAACCACCACTCTGCTCCAGGATTCTGGGAGACTAGTCAAGAAAGAATCAGAAAATAGACAGTCCGACAGTTAGCTAGACTCTATGCTGTGAAGGTCTGAATAAGTGATAATCAGCATCTTCAATGGCACACAGAAGCCAACTAGTAGCCAGCGCAGCTAATGGAAGTGCAACATCACATGGATAGAATGTGTCACGAGCATCACTGCCTAGTCACCAACCTGGACTAGCTGTCTCTTTTGAGTGGTTTTTAATGGCAGCCCCATATGGAGTACATAGAATAGAATAGAATAGAATAGAATAGAATAGAATAGAATAGAAT